AAGAGAGAGGAAGAGGAAGAGAGAGAAAGAGGAAAGGGGGGAGAAGAAAAGAGAGAAAGAAAAAAACTTTAATTTTTTTCCTTCTTATTTTTTCCTGAAATCCCACCTTTTTCTCCTAGAAATCTCAAAAACTAGAAGTCTCTTTTACTGCAAGAGACCATCTGACTAATGCAGTCAATGCCTGTGAAAGGTAACCAGATAAATAAGCCTGTTGGTCAAGATGGTTAACATTTGTTATCCTGGATTCTGCACTTCTACTGGAACTATCTTGAGCCTCTACAAGTCCACACAAAGAATTATCAGGTACATCTGAAAATCCTACTATTCAATTTCCATGCACTGAAGAAGACAGGTCTAGCCATAAAAATTCAAATCCATAGTCAATTAGTTGTTCCTGCACCCACCAAATGCCAACTGTAACTCCTTTCCCTTTTTCTTTAGGGGGCATCAAACAAGCACAAAAGACAGAGGCCACGCAACGAAAGCTGTAGCAGGTATTATGCTGAGACATGCAGGCAGATTTCTGACAAGCTGCATCAGCAGCTACAAGTAAAACTCCTTGTTTATATTTCATTTCAGGTTTTACGTACACATATTTACTGCTCATTCTAGTTAAAGAAACCTTCTCTGCACCTATCAGCTCATCATCCTCTGCTCTCCCAAAACTGGAGATAACTCCGCTTCCAATCTCCCTTGTTGTGCACTGACGAATTTCATGCCACCCGAACCACACGTGAAGGAAAGATGCCAAACCAAAGTTACGCTATCGCTGAAGATTCACTGCGCATTCCTCGGCTCACCCCAGAAAAAGGAAAGGAGAACAGAGAGTACAAAACTCCTGCAACGCCAAAACATTCATGCTTTGGACGAGCTGCATGTAAAAGCATTCGTTAAGCGCAACGTCCGGCCCGGACTAAAGCATTCGGTTCTGACTCGTAGGCACTGGAGCTGACGGCGGGCACGGCCTCAGCAGCCACGAAGGACGCTGACATCCAGGCTCCCCTCCCGAGCACAGAGCCCCGGCCAGCAACCCTGGCGGGCACATCCCGCTCCCCCGGCCGCCGCGCTGTTACCCGCAGCAGCACTAGAGGGCAACGCGGGCCAGCATCCTCTCCCGGCCCGGAGACCCAGCGTCCTCTCCCGGCCCGGAGTCCTCCCCGGGCAGGAAGGCCGCCCAGCCTGGACGGAGGGGCGAATGTGCTCCAGGAGGATTTGGGAGAGGGAAGGAGAGGGCAGAGGTGTGCCGCCAACAGCCCAGAGCCGTTCAGGAGCAGGTAGGGCAGTGCCGGCACCTGCACCCCGAGGCCCCAGGCACGGCACGGCTCCGGCGTGCCACCGAATGCTACACACGGTGGTGTTCAGCTCCCTCCGAAACGGTTGGAGCCGGAACGAATGTTAGCACACCTCCCTGTCTGCGGTGGTCAACCTAGAAAGCTGTAGCCATACCTGAACGGTATCCAGATACACGACTGGCTAACTATGCCCAGCATCGATTTGTGGGAGCCTT